CACCTGTTCTGGAGTACAGCTTTGTCAGGTTTTTGTGACTTTGATCTGCATATTATCATTGTCCTTGCCTATGGAATTTTCCAACTATGTCTGTGAAAACTAGAAACCTCGTGGAGATCAGATCTTACCCCCTACTATTCCTCCTCCTCCTCCTCCTCCTCCTCCTCCTCCTCCTCCTCCTCACTACTTCTATCCCTTCCCCTTACTCCCCTTCTTTCTTCTCCTTATTCTGCCCCTTCCTCTTCTTATTCTTCCTCTCCTCCACACTCCCTTCACTTCATTTTTCTCCTTGCGCAAAAAGTAAAGAAGATGCAGAGGTAATGTACTTGAGTTAAAATTTTACCCTCAGATCCTCCCCTGCCATAGACATCCGATTCTGAGCCCTGATGGGGTGCTGAGGCTGGTACTCAAGGCCCCTGATAGGCTGAGCTACAAGGCCAAGCAGGATTCAAGTATGCCATGGTGGGCCCAAACATAGAGTTCCTAAGGATGCAGCCACAGCAAGCCTGTCCATCCCAGTATGAAAGAGCTGCTGTGTGTGGCATCTTCAGTCTCTTCCTGAGGAGTCCTGGATTCTTACCGGGCTGGAGAGGTTCTCATCACTGGTTCCCACAAAGCTGCCCCTGGAGCTGGGGCTGCATCAGTCGCTTGCCACAGTCCTTTGCGATGGAGTCTCTCACTGAACTATTTGATCTATTTGGCAATACTAGCAAGCATCGGGGCTTCTTTTTTCTAGTGGCTCAGTTCTGGAATTATCGGCACAAGCTGCCATGCCTGGCTTTTTACACAGATGCTGGGAATTCAGACTTAGGCCCTCATACCCGTGGGACAAGCACGTTGCCAGCCGAGCCACCCCCAGTGCCTGCAAATCTTAATCTAAAATTTTCTTTCACAAACATGAGTGTAAGTTAGTTTATAAGGTACATTGTACACATTTATAATAAGAAAGGAGTAAGATATAAACATGTCCAATATACTGCAAGGAATTATTGCTATAGTAGGCTACATGCTGATTATAAACTTGGTTCATAACTTAGAATTTGAGATTTTTTTTTGGCGAAAAGGGCATAGTTCTTTGTAAACAGATTGGTCAGTTGTGTCAAACTTCTTGACTCACAGTCCGTGTGAGACCTAAGCCAGATCCAAAGGAGTGATGGGTTCTATTCCTGTGCCCCCTCCTCCAGTTCCCCTGCCAGTGATGGGTTCTATTCCTGTGCCCCCTCTCCTCCAGTTCCCCTGTCAGTGATGGGTTCTATTCCTGTGCCCCCTCTCCTCCAGTTCCCCTGTCAGTGATGGGTTCTATTCCTGTGCCCCACCTCAGTTCCCCTGTCAGTGATGGGTTCTATACCTGTGCCCCTCCTCCAGTTCCCCTGTCAGTGATGGGTTATATTCCTGTGTCCTCTCCTCCAGTTCCCCTGTCACTTCAGCCTACTTCAATACAACTTGCCTCATAAGGCAATACAACTTGCCTTATGAAAAAAAATTGCCATTATATTTTTACTCACTTTTTTGTTTGTGGGTGTGCATGAGGCATGCGTGTGGAGGTCAGAGGACCACCTGCCGGAGGCTGCTCTCTCCCTCCACCATAAGGCCCTTTGTATCTAACTCACGCCATCAGACGGTGGCAGATCTCTTATGTATGGTATCGTGAAAAACAAAGAGATAGCAAATGGAGTTTAGAGACCAAATTGGCCTTTTAGTAGCCCCTCCAGAGTCAGGCACTATCTCATCCCACACGAGAGGATGAGTCTTCTGTCTGCTGAGCAGAGGGAGTCAGCTTCAGAGGTGGGAGAGAGCTGGTCAGCTGGGGCCCAGCCCAGCCCAGAGCATGTTCCGAAGGATGGCTTCTCGTGAATTCTGCTCATTAGGTCCACGTGTGACTCTAAGAGTCAGAGTCACCAGTCCTTGCGCCACTTACTGCTGCTTTTCCACCGTGAGTTCCGAGGACCACCCCTGCCATATACTTCCTGTTTGCCTGAATGTTTTATTTTCTGGGCTATATCTCCAATGTTTTTTGTTTGTTTTTACATTCCTATTGAAGTTTCCTTCCCTCCTCTCCTTCCAGCTCTCTCCTTCTCCCTCCACTCCTCCTCCAGTTCTCTTCAGAAAGGGGCAGGCCTCCTATGGATATCAACCAGCCATAGTTTACCAAGCAGCACTGAGACTAGGCACCTCCCCTTGTATTAAGGCTGGATAGAACAACTCATTAGGAAGAAAAAGGTCCCAAAAGCAGGCAACAGAGTCAGAGTCAGCCCCTGCTCCCACTGTGGGAATCCCACAAGAGGACCACGCTACACAACTGTAACATATGCAGACTGCCTAGGTCAGTCCCACAGGCCCCCTGGTTGTCGGTTCAGTCTCCGTGAGCTCCTATTATTCTGTGGATTTTCTTCTGGTGTTCTTGACTCCTCTGATCCAGCTGGCTCCTATAATCCCTTCTCCCCCTCTTCTGCAGGATTCCCCAAGCTCTGCCCAAGGTTTGGCTGTGAGTCTCTGCATCTGTTTCCATCAGTTGCTGGCTGATGCCTCTCTGAAGACAACTGGGCTAGGTACAGTCTATGAGTACAGCAGAACACCATTAGGAGTTCTTTCTTTCTTTCTTTCTTTCTTTCTTTCTTCCTTCCTTCCTTCCTTTTTTTTTTTTTTTTTTTTTTTTTTTTTTTTTTTTTTTTTTTTTGCCAGATAGCTTGGTTCTGTTCTAGATCCCCAGTCTGCTACCACGCCTGGTATGGGTCTCAAGCTGAACCAGTCACTAGTGGGCCACTTCCACAATTTTTTCTTTTCTCTTTTCCTTTCCTTTCTTTTTTCCTTTTCTTTCCTTACTTTCTTTCTTTTTTTTTTTTTGAGACAGGTTTCATTATGACTGGCTGCAAACTCACGAGATCCACCTGTCTCTGCCTTCCGAGAGCTGGGAATAAAGGTGTACACTGTCACCGCTATTCTCTATTTGTTTACTTTTGCACCATTAAAACATTTGCTCTTGCTTACTGGCACACGAAGACAGGATTGTCTTCAGGCATGGAGAATGGGGAAGGGGGAGCAAGGAAAGTGTTGTGCACTGGGGCAAACTCCGCTCTTGCTGAGTGCAGGGCACAGACTTCCTGATACATATATGGCTCAGTTAAAATGCTTGACGTGCAAAACTGACGACCTCAATTTGATCCTTGGAACCTTCATAAAGGTGGAAGGAGAGGACGGATGCCACAGAGTGTGTGTAAAGGTCATGGCAAGAGCACACACGGCGTGAATATACAGCAATAATAACTTTTTAAAGTATAATTGCTTAGCTGGGTTGTGGTGGTGCACGCCTTTAATCCCAGGCGTCGGGAGGCAGTGGCCAGTGGATTTCTGTGAGTTTAAGGACAGCCAGGGATATTACACAGAGAAATCCAGTTTCAAAAAAAAATTAATGTGCTTATCCATGTCCTTTGGGATGATCAGAGCTATTGAAGTTAGCTGACAGGGCTCAGGAGCAGCGGTGTTTCTGACGCGGTAGAGTAGGACATGGCTTTACATCTATGACCCACTCAATTCGTCTGCAGGAGTGCTGGAATCCAGCCCCAGCAGGGCTCTGTGCCGCAGGACGGATGTGTGAAATTGGCAAAGAGTGAAGGCATCTGACCACTGGTTGTCTTTCAAACTGATGGCCCCAGCTAGCTCAGGTCGTCTTTATTTATACAAGCTCTGATGCTTTCAGTCATGAGCAGTTTCAAATCATTTCTCTTTGATCATTTTCCAGGAATTATCAACATGTATTCGTTTTAGTTTCTCTTTTTCTTTCCCACTCCCTTGACATCACCGACCTTTACCTCATATCATTATAGGCCAACGCGGATGTTTATATCTCGCCAGGCACATCTTATTCGGGCTCTGCCCTAGCCGGCAGCAAAAATGTGGTTACAAAGTAAAAGAGATTTAAGCCCCGTGATTAATGACACTTTTTTTTTGGTACCTGGAGGGACAGCCGTTGGTGCTGGGAACCGAACTCTTATATTTTTGGTTGTGAGCCTAGCCTCTAACAGCTGAGCCATCCTTCCAGACCTTAACATGATACCTTTATATTTTTATAATCATCTTAGTGTATTGTCACGTCCGGGATATCATTTTCAGGTGTATGCCAGTGTCTAAATATTCTGTATATCACTTTTATGTGGACTACAGTTATAATTCTAATCTTTATAAATTCTCAAAATAGTAAGGATCAATACCTAACTCTAACAGATAAATTCTCAAAATAGTAAGGATCAATACCTAACTCTAACAGCTGGTACTAAATTTCTATTCTTCCAAAAATTTCTGTATGTTCTTTTCTTTTAAGGGAACTGGGAGTTTTAGATTCCTTTACTGATAGTTTGATATTGGAAAAAATCTAAGTGTTCATGATAGAGATGTCTGCCCTTTCATGTCCTTTATCTTTTCCTTATATGTGCCTATAAGTTTTAAATGTCATATTTTAAAAAACCATTTTCCAAGTTCTTAGGTTCCATGGAGGATGTTTCTCTCTTTGGAACCGAGTAAGCAATGATCATATCAACCTTAGTGAGTTCCTTCTGCTCACCCAGGATGGCTGCAAAGGCTTCCAGGGGCAACTGGAGGAACCGGTTTCTGTAACAGATCAGGGAAATTTAATTTTTCTGCAGAGGTTTTTGTTCCCAGTAAACTCAGGCACAAACACAACTAACAAAGCAAAACTAAGAGTCACCGTCAGAGTAAACAGCGAAAGTTAGAGAGGCCTGAAGCTCATGAGCTCCCTAGGATCCGCGCAGGGGTTTGCAGTATTATTTTCTAGATCCTTACCAAGGGGATAGGACTCTCCAAAGGGTCACCATCTAAGGAGCCCCATTTGCAACACATTTATGGGGTGACAGCATGGCCCGCACACAGGAGCATCTCTGAGAAACGCACAACATGGACTTGTATCAGACCTCATGCCTTAGGAGAGATTCCAAACAGATAACACAACCGAGACAAATACCTAGTCACAGAAAGCCAGGTGGGGTTATAAACCGTTTATTTCCCTGGGTTGTAACATTCACCATATATTGCATACTTAAAACTGTCACTGCTGACCATACAGACAAACATTGCTCTTTGTCACAGTTATGATAAAAGGGCAGTAAATCCGAGATTAGAGAGTAAAGTGTCACCGATAGACCCAGGAGGTTCCAGGGTGTCCACAGAAACCATTGAGTGATCCCACCCTTCCTTCTACCATAGATCTTAGAGAACCAGCCAAGTTCTTGTCTCTTGGCCTCCCTTCAACTGCAGGACCCAAAAACTGCAGGCAGGAAATGGCTACAGCTCAACAAGAGGAAGCAGCAGGACCAGGAGTCCAGGTAGCACCACAAGCAGCAGGAAGGCACAGCCGTCTCTGGCCCCTGTAGATGGGAGGACAAAGAAAGGTTTCCATGTGGGATATCTCAAGACACGGGTATCTCCCCTAAACAGTCAGGACTTTACATCCAGCTCAAAACCCAGGAGAGTAGGCTCTAGGGGGGGCATTATGCCAGGCTAGGCTCTTCTGGCTTCTTGGGGAAGCGAGCAGACAGATGGATCCCACCTCTTCCAGGGTCCTGTGCTCTAAGACACTGACTGGGGAGAAAAACGTCTTTCCTATTCAGAGAGCTTTTCCTTCTTCAGCCAAGAAGAGGTTTCTGAGTCCGAACTGAGAGGCTAGTGTTACAGCAGTGTGTATTCCTTTTATGCCAGCGGGTGTGAACTAGAACCCACTTATGGCTCCCAGCGCGCCTGGACTGGACAGCAACCATTTCTCCCAGATGGACACAATCTTTCTAGCTGATATGTGTACCTGGGTAGCGATCATGCTGGCCTAGACCCTGATCCAAATTCAGAATTTCTCTGTGCAAATGCATGACATCCCTGTGATCTCTTCCTGTGGCTCCACTTCCAGCTCCAAAGACTTCCATGTTTCCAGCCTTCCGAGTGTCCCTGCTAGTTAGAGCTGTGATTGCCAGGCACGCAGCAGGCTAACTGCAACTCATTTCAGGTTGCTCCCTGGCCTCTCAGCCAAACTTAAATTCCTAGGACAACATTTAGTGGAGCCTGGATATGCATATGCCAGCCACTGCAGCGGCTGAGTGGTGGGCAGTGGAGACAAGGTCTCCAGGATGGGTTTGGCTCAGATGTCTGAGATGTGTTCATGATTCTTCATGTTTAAAAATAAAAAGCATTTCTGGGATAATAGTACATGCTAGTTAATATATCCTGAATGCTTTTCTTTAATTCTCAAATTAATAGTCCTAGGATATTTGTCAATGGGTCTTTATCATTCAAATAGGGAAACTGAGGCACAGATATCTGGTAACTTTCAAAGAGTCACAGGCTAACGATGTTTGAAGAAGATTATGATGCAGTCTGATCCCAAACCCATGACAGAGAGCAGGGTACAGCAATTTTCTCTGGAAGTATTAAGGAAGGATTACTAGGATAGTAATCAAGACAAAACTGTGTCTTGAAAGGTAATCACCAAACTAAAATTGATGGTGTCTTTGCTTGCAGAGATTGAGATGTGGTCAAGGGATGAAGAGAGAACCTAGGCCACAAGGAAGGATGGATATACATCCACAGGGACGCCCAGCCACGGGGGAGCTTTGTCTTGAAAGGATGGACGAATACTCACTGAAGCACTGCTCACTCCTCACAGGGCTGGACACGGTAATAGCTTTGTCGGGCAGTCCCTCACTGTGTTCAACATTTTGATACACCATCACCGAGGTATGTGCCCCTTGGCTTTACCAATTTCATCCTTGTAGGCACTCTCACTGTGTGCATGGTCTGCCAGTGTCTTCTGGTAGGGAGCACCCTGACTTCCATTTCATGATGGCCCCCACCAGCTCCACCGCTAACACAGACACAGACTCACCTGAGCTGTTTGAATGACCGCTATAGAAGCAATTGAAGTTGCTCTTCTCTCTTCGTGGGGCGTCCAGGAAAATCTCCTTTCCACTTTGTGTTACACTGACTTTGTGATATACTTCATAAGCTGGAATCAGCACCTCCTCTTCACTAGGATAGTAAGAAAATGCTTTTATATACACCCCCAAGCAGGTTTTGATGGTGTACAGCGTCCCAGTAGCACCACTAAAGTTTTTAAGAGCCACTTCCTTATTCAAAGACGAGGAAGCGAAATGTCCAAATCGCACAGAGCCGTTCCCACTGTAATGAAACCTATCCTTGGTGCCTCGATAAACAGAGTAGCAGTTCTGGTTACTCAGAAGCTGGAGGGCTCTTGTTAAGTAGTAATGGAAGGCCCTGTAATGGAAGTTATCGGGATTTTTCTTGAATTCTCTAACAGCGTCATTAAAATCTTTGTGGATGTCCCCAGTGTAGGTCACTAAAGCTATTCCATGGAGATTAAGGAAACCTTTGGGATAACTCATTCTGTTTTTTATCGTCTCCCATTTTTGCTCTGCGCTTTTCCACTCCCGTTTTAACCGTCTATTCATGTTGAAGTCTTTCTCTAACAGCTCGGGTGCTTTTTTCTCCATTTCTTCGACACAGCCCTCATACTGGTCATCAAATGCATCAGGGGCCATGTCCAGCTTGGGAGGCTCAGTCAGGCCTGTCACCTGAAGGAAGAAGTAGGTTCTTTGTTACCAGCTAAGTTTGCTAAGTTATCAGCGTATGCTGGGTGCTGTCTGGAGCCTACATCATGAGACGTCACATATGCCGGCCTCATATATGGCACGTGCCTGGGCACAATCTCATTACATTATGAGGGCTACAGAAAGGCAAACTTAAGGTCTCTGATCATTTTGTGTTTATGGATACTATAATTTTTCTTTATTTAATTAAATTTTTAGTCAGTACACAAAATAACAGGCCTTGCAATGACATTTTCATTATATGTCTAGCATTATATACTGCTCATATTCACCATACACAACAGTCTTACTGGTGCTATCCTTAAATCACTTTCTCAACATTCATGCTCCCTGATATCCTCTAGCCACAGATCACTCAGATGGGGGCAGGGGAAAGCAAGGTCAACAGCATGTGGTCACCTGCTGGGCTAACAACCAAGTCAGGAGGAACAGATGATGTGAACTTTTGAGTCCAGAAAGAGAGTTCATCTTCAACTTCAAGAACATCTGCAAACAAATACAAGACAATAAAAGTAGGATCCTCATATCTATCACCATGCACAGAACTCAAGTCCAGATGGATCACAGACCTCGACATAAAGCCAGCCAGACTGAACCTTAGAGAAGAGAAAGTGGGAAGTACACTTGAACACATTGACACAGGGAACTACTTCCTAAATATAACCCCAGCAGCACAGACACTGAGAGAAACAATTAATAAATGGGACCTCCTGAAACTGAAAAGCTTCTGTAAAGCAAAGGACACGGTCAACAAGACAAAACGACAGCCTACAGAATGGGAAAAGATCTTCCCCAACCCCACATCAGACAGAGGGCTGAGCTTCAAAATATACAAAGAATTCAAGAAATTGGTCATCAAAAGAACAAATAATCAAAAAAAAATGGAGTACAGATCTAAACAGAGAATTCTCAACAGAGAAATCTAAAATGGCTGAAAGACACTTAAGGAAATGCTCGATATCCTTAGTCATTAGAGAAATGCAAATCAAAATAACTCTGAGATTCTATCTTACATCTGTAAGAATGGCCAAGATCAAAAACACTGATGACAACTTATGCTGGAGAGGTTGTGAGGAAAGGGAACACTCCTGCATTGCTGGTGGGAGTGCAAGCTGGTACAGCCCCTTTGGATGTCAGTGCGATGATTTCTCAAAAAATTAGAAAACAACCTTCCTCAAGACCCAGTAATACCACTTTTGGGTATATATCTAAAGGATGCTCAATCGTGCCACAATAACATGTGCTCATCTATGTTCATAGCAGCATTGTTTGTCATAGCCAGAACCTGGAAACAAGCTAAATGCCCCTTGATTGAAGAATGGATAAGAAAAATGTGGTACATTTACACAATGGAGTACTACACAGCAGAAAAAAAATGACATCTTGAAATTTGCAGAGAAACGGATGGAGCTAGAAAATATCATTTTGAGTGAAGTAACCCAGACACAGAAAGACAATTATCACATGTACTCACTCATAAGTGGTTTTTAAATATAAAGCAAAGAAAAGAAATCACAATCCCAGAAAATCTAGATAACAATGAGGACACTAAGAGAGACTTACATAGATCTAATCTACATGGGAAGTATAAAAAGACAAGATCTCCTGAGTAAATTGGGAGCATGGGGACCATGGGAGAGGGTTGAAGGGGAGGGGAGAGACAGGAAGGGGAGCAAAGAAAAATGTAGAGCTCAATAAAAATCAATTAAAAAAAAAAGAAAGTGGGATCCTGCTCAGTTCTGGGAAGAACAAGTCTGTGCCCAGAATCTCTCCGACTTCCTTTAGCCACATATTCCCTTCCATCGTGGCAATGGCTTCTCTAGCATTACGGGTAGAGATTATGTGATTCTGCCCACAGAGCTGCATGTACTCACACACACAAATTAAAGAAAATGAAATGAAGAAAGCAGACTAACACCATCAGCCTTATTAATTGTTGTCTTATGAAATGTATTGTTTTCAATTCTTTTTGCAGGGTAGAGCTCTAACATATACACTGAAAGACAGCCATGGAATGATGAGGAAGGTCACTGCTCAATGATGTGAACCCACCCCTTCATTCCTGCCTATGGCTTTTGGAAAACTGTGAAAACTCCCTCCCCATACACAACGAATCCTGTTGTGTTACTTTAAATAGCATTTTGACATAAAGGCTCTCCTCACACCTTGAGAATGGCAGAGGAACTGCATGTTGTGGCTACATAGTTGCTTTTGGGAAGGTTCCTCCTCCACAGCTTGGCTTCTCTTGCCCTGCCTCTAGGGGATGCTGCAGAAACAACTGACCTAGGAGTTCAACCCTGCAGTGGAGAGTTCCACCTTCCGTACGTCCTCAACATTAAACCATTATTAATTGTAAAATAACCATAGTGAGCTACCTAAGATATCCTCTCTAAATTCTTAAAATCCTTTTAGACATCCAGTTAAGGCAGAACACACCTATAATCCTGGCCCTTGGGAGGTCCTTGGGAGGTGGAGGCAGGGGCATCCCAAGTCCCAGGTCAGTTTAGGATGTAATGAGACTCTCAAACGAAGGAAAAATTAAGCTCTGGTCAGAAATAGTTGAAACGCAGGCACTTTCCTTTGTTCTCGAGTACGTCCTGGAACCACTTAGGATTTGGCTACCTATTCAAAAAGGTTCCTAAAGTTAGACTGTATGAGAAGTTCTCTGGAAACTTGTCACCAACAGAGACTTGTGGACCCCAGTTTCCAAGCAATGCATTTAGCATTTATAATGGGTTACTTTGTTAGTTAATTCTGATACAATTTGCTTAAGAGAAAATATTTAATTTTCTTCTTTAATAATAAGTATGAATGCATGTCCTGGCTTGGGGTGTATGTACAGCTCAGTGAAGGCACCTTCTGAGGCCAAAGGTGTCAGGCCCTCTGGAGCAGGAGTTACAGGCTCCTGAGCTGCCTGGCATGGGTGATGGGACTGAACTCTGACTCCTCTGCAAGAGGAAGTACTTGCTCTACCACTGAGAGATTTCTCCAGTACAGAGTTTGCTTTTGGGGAGGTAACGGCATGCGTGGATCCCAACTGACCAGTGCTGAGGGTTGACCCAGGATATTGTACACGCCAGGGAAGCATCTGGACGGCGAAGCCTCTTTACACAGCACACATTTCCACATTCGAGCTCTTCCTCTGGCCTGAGCTAGAATCCACCCCCACACACACACACTTTATTGTCTTAAAACTTAAGCTTCGAAACTCTGTTTTGAAGGCAGAATGTCTTAGAAAACCCAGATGGAGGTGCCAGTAGAAAAAGATCCTGTATCGTTGGTCAGTCAGCATCGGGGCTTCTCATTCAGGAAGGGCTCAGCCAGCCTGCAGTGAGCTTCCAGTTCTTTCATCCCCTTCCTAGTTCCTCATGTGGTTGATCCAGACATTTGCCTTTCACAAGACTGGAGTCTACTTCCCTATGGACGGCTAAGCATAGACAGCCCCCCTCACTGGCTCCTCTGCCCCTCGACCCACTCAGACTGAAGCTGCAGCTTGAGTCACCTCAGCCCCAGAATGAACTCCTGCTGATTAAAATCCCCCTGGAAATCATGTGGCTAACACCTTGGACCTCAGTGAAAACACCCGTCTCTCTCTTTCCCTTCACCCCATCCCCTCTCTCCTCACTCACTCCCATTCTCCTTCCCTCCTGCTTTATGTCTGCCCTCGACCTCCAAGACCTCACACTAAAACAGAAGAATAAAGCTACGGTTCCAACACACAGGAGATCTGGTGCAGGAGGATCCTGAGATCTGAGTTAGACCGGGCCATACAGCAACAGCGTACCTTTTAAAATTCTTAAATTAAAAATGAATAAATAAAGCAAAGAAGATAATAGAAGCTAATGAATGCTTGTTTGGAAAAAATAAGATTATTTGAGCATATCCCTGTTCTTTTCTGAAAACCCAGGAAGTGCAGAAAAAACAAGTGTATTTCCATCAGAGACTATGTACACAGACACCAGTTGTTTCCCGCAGGACCCGGGAGATAAACTGTGTGATCCTGCATTATATTTTTAAGTCTCTAGAAAGATTGATAGCCTCTTGTCTGTCTTTCCTTTCTCTTGATCTGACCCATCTCCCTACCCTGGCTGTTTCTTGCTCAGAACTGACCTTCTGGCTTTAACCCTTGAGTCGCAGACACCGCCGCCCTACCCACAATTCTACACCCACTGTAGCCCTCAGATTTTTCTCTGTGTCCCCTGGACTTTAGAGGCTTTCCCTTCAGAGGACAGAGTTCAGATTCATCAGGTACCTGAGCAGATCTTTGGTGGCTGGGTCTCTGGCCTCTTCTAAATGCAAATGTTCCAGAAGGGCTGCTGTGGCCTTGGGTCTCCGGTCTCTTCTAAACGCAAGTGTTCCAGAAGGGCTGCTGTGGCCTTTTTATTCTCTGGACAATGTACTTTCAGTTTCAGGTTAGTTTGAAAGCCAGATGTTTGAACTACCTAAATTAGATAAACTACTTAAATATACCATTTCTATTCTCCATCACTTTTTGTTTTGAGTTTTTCATTAGCCCAGATTGGCCTCTTACTGGCCATGTAGCTGAGGATAACCTGAAATCCTGATTCTCTTCCCACTAAACTAGATTTATTTGTGCAAAACTAGAACCCAGGACCTGGTGCTCTCGGCAGCCGCTCTACCAACCAAACCGCATTCCCATCTTGCATCTTTTCTCTTGTCTGTGCCACAGTCAGTTGGGACCTTCCTTTCTGTTGCTCCCCACTGGGTTGATGGGGGGAGACGGTGTGTGCAATATGTGGGTACTGCAGAAAGCAGAAGTTCGTTGACCTTTGCCCTGTACATCAACTTTAGAAATTGTTTGGCCGGGAGCTTTACCCCAGCCCCCTGGCATTTATATATATAAGGAGTCTAAAAAATGTTTAGTTAAAAACATCACCTCAGCCCTAACATCCTTATTCAAATAAGCTTGGGCTTCACCCCAGCTCCTGGCACAAGCTCTCTCCCCTGGGAGTTGCCTCAGTCCAAACTCCACCTGCAAGAAAGCCTACCAAACAGTGACCCCTTTCCAGGGAAGGTCAAGACTACTCCCAGAGGCTATTGAAACTGTCCTCCAGAGAATGAACACATGGTCTCCTGGTTTTTCATGGTCTTTTGGTTCTCTGTTCCCCTCTCCGTGATTCCCCAGGTGCCCCGCTAGCAGCCATTAAACCTGGGTGTCTTCTAATTCAGTCTAATTTGGTCTGATTGGAATTATTGTGTTTGCGGAGAGGTTGGCCATTTAAGGAAAAATATGTAACACACATAACCCGGAAGCCTGTTGTAGTGGCTCACACCTTTAATCTCAGCACTTGGCAGGCTGAGGCAAAGGATCTCTGTGAATTTGCTACCAGCCAGGTCTACATGGTGAGACCCTGTCAACAAACAAAACCACCGGCAAATCACTTGAGCACCTCCAGGGAATTATGTAAAAGGTGAAGAGAGGTGACTATTTTAAGGCTCATGTTTTTCATCCTCGGTTGCTCCGTCGTCTAAAGCATATGAACCAAGTGTTGATCTTAGAATTTCTTCTGGCAGCTACCTGCTTCTTTCAATCCTAGATCTTATAACAAATCCAACAGCTTTCTGTGTTCCTAGACACCACCACTGGGTGACATATTAGGTAGAAAATGCCATAACAGACCAAGTTGTTGGGTCCAGGGGGGTCCTGCAAAGATGAGAACACCACCAAGTTTAATAAACCAGAAGCAAACATTATTCCAGAAACCAGATCCTAGGAAAACCAGAAGCAAACTTAAAAATAAAAAATAAAAATAATAATTAAAAAAAACTGCGGGGCACAGAAGCTTATCAGCTAGCTGAGACCACAGCCAGAGATGGTGTTTGTTAGGCTGTGGCCAAAGGCCAGTTTCTGAACCCACTTTTTATAGTAGGGACACCAAGCATTAGTTCTGAACAAAGGAATATATACAATCCTGCCCTGGCCATAGGAGGGAAGCGGGTTCTAAGGTCAATGGGTAACTACGCAGCTATCATGAAATATGTTTCACCCTGGCCATAGGAGGGAAGCGGGTTCTAAGGTCAATGGGTAACTACGCAGCTATCATGAAATGTGTTTCAGAGGAGAGTACAGCGAAAGTCACTGATTGCAAGAAAACAGTTGTCTTAAGCAATTAGTCAGAAAAGGGACTGCTAGTAATACTAGAAGGTTGATAAATCAGAATAACTGGTTCTTAGGCTGGGAACTTAGAAGATAGCAGAAAGCTTCTCACACTTGCTCAAGGTAAAACTCAGACACAGACTGCCGTACTTTAAACCTCCATAATCAGAGCTCATTAGTCAAACATGTGTTTCTACCTTGTCCAGTGTGCCTCCTGGCACCTCCAGGCAGTGTATACTGAAGCCCCATGCTTCCCTGTTAATGGTGCCAGTTTTCCATAACAGAGACAGTGCCTGACCCAGAGGTCAGTATCTCTGTCTCCTAAAGGTTAACTCAGTTCACATCTGTCGTTTATCAAATATTGCCAGGACACTACTCTCAATTTGTAGAGAGAAGCTCTGCCTTGTAAATAAAACAACCAGGTGTAAAATGAAATGATGGAGGTTTCCCAAGCATCCAAGAAAATAGCTCACTGTGAGCAATTGATCCTTGATCTGCTGAGAAAGCTGCTGAGAGTCTGTTCTCATTCTCCTAGACTTATAACTTTATATTTCATTTCTACATTTTTATTTTTAAAATCTACATATTTATTTTCTTATTCTTGGACTCTTCACAAGTGACCAAAAATCTGTACCCTCCTGTCCCATCATGTGTAGGAAAGAGGAAAAAAGAGGCTTCTCCAAAATAACGTCCGGAACCTTTTCTGCATCCTGCTTTCATAACTGAACTTTCCCAGAAATAGAGTGTGGAAGAGTGTGTGCTTATGCTGGGGTATATTTGGAGGTAAGTCTCTTTCTCAGATCCTGCAAGTTAGACCCTTCGTCGTCGTCGTCGTCGTCGTCGTCGTCGTCGTCGTCGTCGTCCTCCTCCTCCTCCTCCTCCTCCTCCTCCTCCTCCTCCTCCTCTTTCACTTTCTACTTCCTACTTCCTACCCTTCTTCCTCCTCCTTGTTGGAGACAGGGTCTTGCTATGTTACTGTGACGGACACAACAGTGGCTGAGAATATAGATAGAATTGCTCTGGCCCTAGCTCTCTCTTTATTCTAGATCTCTCAGACAATTTTGGTACTCCAGTGTTCTGACTTGTTCTCACACAACTGGATAATCCCATAATGTTATATTGGACAAAACATATCATTGTCTGATCCTGATGACTGATTTTGAACCAAAGGCACAAAATCCTACTGGCAGAGAAATGCAAACCTGAACATTGTGCTAGAGTTCCCAGGTGTGGTGACCTATATCCCTGTAATCCTAGCCCTTAGGAGTTACTGGAGGTGACTCCTCCTGCTGCTGCTCATGAATCTGGATGAAGGCCTCTCAGGGGGTTCTCCAGGACAATGTCTGTCTGCATCCACCATGCTTCCTACCATGCGGATGATGGACTAAATCTCCGAAACTTTAAGCAAGTACCAAACAAATACTTTGCTTTATAAGAGTTGTTGTGGTCCAGAACAGTTGATTAGACAGAAGTTGGTACCAGAGAACAGGTGATAGACCTTACCATGCTTCTTGTTAGCAGAATGTAAACATTGGTTGTTTGGCTTAATTAAACACTTTAACAGGGACTTACAAGTAAGGCCGTACAAGGAGAAGCCTGGAAGACACTGGTGCTGAGGATGATTTGAACTGTGGGAACCCCCAGCTCAAGAGCTTTCAGAGCAGAAAAAAAACTACTAAGTGGCCTCAGGCCATTGTTGTGATAGTTTGGCAAACAATGTGGCTGCTTTCTGCCCAAGTCCAAAACAATCTGCCCGAGGCTAGATGGAAGAGTTTTGGAGTTTAATTTCATTAGCAGTGAAGATTTCAGGACAACCTAGTATTGACTATGTCCTGTGATTATCAGTGGTCACTCTTACAGAGGTCTATAATGAAAAGGAGCAAGATCGGGGTGGAAAAGTCCAAAACTTAGTTTGAGAAGAAAAAGAGCCCCAGGAACTGTAGTGGGGGCTAAGTCCAGTGCTCACGAGATAAAACCTTAAAGAAAAGCCTGAATCTGAATGGAATAATAAAGGTAGGGGTGACCTCAGGCAAAACCCCACCCAGCTAAGCTTCCAACTCATGAAAAAGAATTAAGGAAGAACTTAACCAGTGAAGCAAACCACAGAAAGCTGATGGATGTGTGTTCTAAGGAGGGGCGCGTCTAGATTTAGAGTCAAAAATACAAAAAGGACTGTGGTATTTTAGGGTGTCTGTCAGAGAATGCTGCTCAGACGTGGACGTAAACCAATAGAAAGTCTTTATTAGCTGGCCAGTGGCTACACTGAGTCATAGGGAAGACAGTGGGGCAGCAAGCCTTTCACAACAACCCCACTGGTTGTTAGCACTTCACTTAGCAAGAAGAGCTATCCAAAAGCAGAACTACAGAAAGTTTTAGCCAGTTTTTACTCTTGCTATTCTTTGTTCTTTTGGGGGGCCCCACCACACAGCTCCCAAATAAATCACACATGGGGGCTTATTCTTATTTATGCCTGGCCTTAGCTTAACTTGTTTCTAGCCAGCTTTTTTTTTTTAACATAATTATCCCGTCTATCTTTTGCCCCTGGAATCTTTCCTTTTCTTACTTCTCTGTATCTCACTTTCCTTATTACTCTGTGGCTAGCTGGGTGGCTGACCTCTGGTGCCCTCCTCCTTCCCTCTTCCACAGTTCTCCTATGTATACTCTCTTCCTGCCAGCTCCACCTTCCCTTTCTCCTACCTTGCTGTTGGCCATCCAACTCTTTATTAGACCATCTTTATTAGAAATGTTTTAGACAGGCAAAGAATCACAGCCTCACAGAGTTAAACAAACGCAGCATAAACAAAAGCAGCAATCTTTACATCGTTAAGCAAATGTTCCAGAGCATAAACAAACAAATGTAACACACCTTAAAATAATATTCTACAGTATTTTCCCTTTGTTGTCTAAATAAAAAGAGAGGTTTTGGCTTTAACATAATAAAATTATATACAACAAAAACAGTTATCGAGTAAGAATTACACTTATAATATTCTGTCCATTTGTAGTTAGCATATTCAGAGGAGAAATGCATTATTTTAGTGAATCCAAAGTTTTATAACTGATTTACTTTCTATCATAACTAAGGAAAAATGCACCTATATCTAGTCTTAAGTTCCATCAAAGACCCAGAAAGATGTAATATTATCTAACAGAGACATTTGGCTGCCTGGACAGTCACCCAAAGTTCCTCTGCAGTGTTGGGGCATCCATCTTCAGCCTACAGGCCTAGAGTACCCGTAAGACCTTTCAATGAAGCAGGAAATTAGCCTTGTTTTGGCAAAGTTCTACTGTCGTTTTCCTGTGTGGTCTGCGTATCCAGTCTGCACAGCACACTGTCAGCACTTGTCGGCAGGAGCAGTTTCTTTGCCCAGTGGCTAATCTTGCCACAATGAAGGCAAACTACACAAGGAGTTTCTTCAATGCCCATAATCTTTTTATGAAGTAAACTGGTGCTGCTAGGAGCAGATATCTTATTTTCATGAGAAGCCTCAAGTTAAAAAACGTTTTAAATGTCGCATTCCATAGGTCTTTGAAGTATCTGAAAATAATTTATCTATCT